TGTAACGAAGCATGTAGCTGTGCGGATTATTGCATCAATAGAGTTGAGTGTAACCTTCTTAGGTAAAGCCAGCTCATGTTGTTTCCCAGGTCGCCGGAAGAGGCAGGCGATACAGAGTGGAAATTAGGAAAACTGAGAAGACGGGATGGGGTATGCGTCTGTGCCCACATTTCACCGTATATCCAACCAAATCTATATAGGGGTTTTCGCGGGAGAGGATATTCCTTCTGGGTCTTTCTTGGGCGTATATGCTGGGGAACTTTTACTCGATGCGGAAGCCGAAGCTCGAGGCCAACGGTGCGTGTCATGTTAGTCGACATCTTATTTACTTACTCTTTGGTATTTTCAGATTTTATAATCTGTATAATCGTAACTATCTTTTTTCCATCGACTGGTATTATATCAGAGACCTCTTTAAGGAGAGGAAAGAGGAATTCAAGATTCAAGTGAGTTGGAAGCTCTATAAGGGATATGATCTCACATCAACTTAGTATGTAATCGATGCTATGCACGTGGGAAGCTTCACACGGTTCTTGAATCATTCATGCGATCCCAACTGTTCAGAGGCACCTTGTGTTTTTGGGGATACCGAGTTGGAGATGCCTTATCTAACCTTTTTCGCTAAAAAGGAGATAAAAAAAGATGATGAAATCACGTTTTGTTATCGAGGTAGCCAAAATGTGTATGAGAAGCCAGAGGAGTTGGCAAGAGCAAAAAGACGTGTCGAGGAAAGGAGACTCAAAGCCAACAAGGGGAATGCCAAAAAAGTCGATGTCCCCTGCCGATGTGGTTCAAGGAAGTGTATTGGCTCTATATGGAATTGGGAAAGTAGTGATGACGAAGATGAGTAAAGTTCATGAAGGAGATTGAACCACCTGAATGACTCGAGGTGAGTGAGATTATGGGTGACTTCTCTAAATGATTAACATATTTGATTTGACTAGATTGAGTGGGTGGAGTGCGCTTAATAAATGCATAATCATTCTAGTATCGAATAATAAAACTCTGCTGTGGTAACAACAAGCGAGCCATAAGAACAGTAGAGAGACGGTTAGGTGAGAGGTAGGCTTCATTAGGATTGATAAAGATCAGGAGAAAGGGTTAATCAGGATGCCTTGGCCTGTTTCTTTAGGAGAGTAGCAAGGCCAGATGGAGGACACGCTTTCTTCAAGAATTCGTGCTATAAGAACGACGTCAATGTCAAAGCAAAGAATTTATATGATTTATGGTATTGGAACAGAGCTTACCTCCAGCAACTCGGCGGCACTAGCTCTGCTTTTGACGTCGACGCATAAGCAGACACTTAAGAAGTGCTTCAACTCCCTACTCAGGGCTTCTGGTTTCTTCAATGTAGGGGTGCCATTCGTTGCGATGAGGTAGAGAGCTTTGAGGGGCTCTTCATCGAGATAAGGTGGCTCGTTTTCGATCATCTCAATTGCCATAATTCCTAAAGACCAGATGTCCACTTTCGCACCGTATTCTTTCTGTTTGACAACTTCAG